CTGCAATTTTTCTTTCAACTTATTATAATACGATTTATGTTTTTGATAATTTTCTATTAAAAAAAAAAAAAAAAAAAAAGAAAAAGAAAAAAGTATTACGAATAATATCTGTCACACTTAGGATGAACGCAGAAAAAAAGAAATAAAATCGTTTGATTTTGTCGAAAATCAAATTGAATTTTTATTTATATCTAATCATCTGGAACCCGTAAAAAAACAGATAGATAGATAGATAGATAGATAGATAGATAGATAGATAGAGAAAGTTATTGTGAGCCTCCGGAAGAGGACACGTGAATATCTAAAATTAGAACCGTTGCGAAAAATATCCGACACCTTAACGGCGTCCAGAGACTATTTCACGAGGAGACAGAAGGAATTTCTTGGTAATCGGATAGAAGCCAATAGATATATATCTTTGTCTCTTATCTGATATCCAATGTCGCCATTAAATACGCTCGCAATGACTCGCTCAAGACGTCAGCTTAAAGACACTTACCTATTGTAAATCATTGTAAATCTTGTATTTTCCTATTTTCATCGTTTTTATCCCGTTAAATAATAATTGCAACATCCTATAATAATTAGACATTTTTCTATTACGAATATTATCTCATATCGATCGATCCATCGAAATGTAATATACTTCGTTTGATTTTTTTCCTTCCTCCGTTTTTTTTTTTTCTGATTCAAAGCCGCGAATTTTCAAAAAGTGTAACGTTACCAATTAATACAATTTTGAAAGGAAAAAATAAGAAGAGGAAGGAATAAATATGCGAATTTGACTGACTCATTGCTTGATTATTTTCGTCATAAAGTCTGAAAATACAATCCGAAGGGCTCTGGCCGATATACGCAAGGAGACAAGCCTGGGAGCCTTGAGCTCTTGCCAAAAATGAAGAAAACGTTTCCAACGAGTACTCGAGGATGTTCTACTTCATCAATTAAAGACCCGCGCTCGTCCAATATCTTATGCGAATACAAAATACCAAGAGCAAATTCTTCTCTCGGTCTTAACTAATGTCCCGAACTTAGTGAGAGAGATAACATATAGCTTTGAATATGTCTCCTAATTCTAATATTAGAATTAACATTAATTCTTTGACGAATAAATAAGTATATTCCTATAAAAAAAAAAAAGAAAAATAATAAAATAAATAAAAATCCAAATCCAAACATTAAAAATTAAAATTAAAATTAAAATTAAAAAAAAAAGAAAGAAGAAAACTAAAAGAGAAATTAGAAAATGAGAATTTAGATATTATATAATATCTACAATTAAAATATTTCGCGTATCGAGATGGTAGACAAGTGATAAACAAATGTTTGATATACACGTGGAAAATAACTTTCTGATATACATCGGTGTTTCATATAAACTTCCCAACAAGATATTAATTTTTTTAAATTTGGTAAAATCATTTGATTGGAACAAGTCGTATCTTATTCGTTTCAAATTTAAATCGAATTCGCGCGCTTGTCGTGCAGCCCGGGCGTACACACATTTACCGTCCCTTGAAATCGTACATATCGAATTCTGTCATACGGTTAATATGGAGAGAAAGGGGCTTTTAAATAGAAATAAACATAGATACAGATACATATATATATATATATATATATATATATATATATATATATATAGATAGATAGATAGATATCTCTCACCTTTTTCTGTTGTTTCTCCCAGGCCGGGTCCAAGAGACCTTCTCTCTCCCACTCCTCCTCGGGCTCCATGTATCCGTCCCCGTAGGCCTCCATGTCGTTCATCCTTCTTCCGTGTATATCTCACGTTCCTTTAAACGCAAATCCCAAAGGTGTCACCCGATATGTATCCTCAGGTACGTAAAATAATGTTACAACTATGATACATCCGAAATTATCCACCTTACTAAACGTGGGTGTTCCTTACGTATCTCTCTCTCTCTCTCTCTCTCTCTCTCTCTCTTACACTCAGGTTGTATACTCGTATGACTCTCTTCGCGACAATAACGGAAACTGACCGAGATATCGAGAAAAAAGAAAGAAAAAAAGAGAGAGAGAAAGAGAGAGAGAGAGAGAGAGAAAGAGAGTGAGAGAGAAAAGAAAGAGAAAGGGTAATACTAAGAAAAGGACAGCAAACGTATTTGTATGTGATGTATGTATGTATGTATGTATGATGCGTGTGCTATGGTGTATGTTTGTAATATAGAAAGAGAGGCGCGTCGAGAAGGAACGGACACTCGACGGTTTCGAGAAACAAAGAAAAATAATACGAGAGAACTAAGAACAGAAAAAAAAAAAATAAAATAAAGATATAACCAACGAACCAACGAACGATAGAAAGAGTGCGAGAGAGAGAGGAATGGCCGAAAAACGTGGTAACGTACCCGCTAAGCCCAGAAAATGTTCGGTTCGTGTCTTTCCCTCGCGCTGACCCCTCTGCCACGAGTCTGACACACGATTTGCTTGCCGGCGCACGAGCCCCCTTCGCCGCGGTTCACCCCCCTCTCCCATTACTCACGAACTCACCCGAACCCAGACCATTCGTTCGTTCGTTCGTTCGTTCGTTCCTTCTTTCGTTACCCCCACCACCAATACCACCACCTCTCGCGCGGTTTCGGTTCACATTACGAAAATGTATACACCTTTCTTATGCTACTTCCTAGCATAGTGGGATAGGAATATACACATTAAAAACTAATCAATTGAATTAATCGAAACTTTTTCCGTTTCTCTTTTCTACCAATGAAAAATAAAAATTTTCTTTATCTCTTGGTACGTTACGAATATATATCTTTTGTAAAATCATATAATTATTTGTTTATTAATTTATTTATTTGTTTATTATATTATAACATTAACGTTATTTCAAAATGCAAAATTTGTCTTTAGAATATAATTTACTTTCAATTTCGTAGAATTATATATTTGGAGTGTAAAAATAATCTATCTAACGATACAAAATAGAAACGTATTTCTACTTTCTATATTACGTGCTATTCTAGATAATTCTATAGGAGTATGGTAATAATAGGTTAGAAATATATTCGCCGGTAGTAGGTAATATTTATCTTGAGAATTTGTCAGATAATATGACATGTAAGATAATCTTTAGCATAGGTTGTATAGAAAAGTTTGATAATAATATTACGTTGTGAAATTTAAAGGAAATAAAAGAAACTTGTTAATTTAAAATAGCATATCAAATTATACGATGACACGATCGATTGAATTTATTTCTTATTGTGTGTGTGTGTGTGTGTTTTATAGCATAAACATTATTCCTTCGAAAATATTTATTTTGAAATAACGTCAAATTTGATTATCGATCTAAAATGATATTTACAAGTTTATGTTTATCAATCGTATCGCTCCATATGCTAAATGTAAATATGGTATGAATGTATGTATGGTATGCAACACGTGTGCGTGTCGTGTGCGTGTGTGTATGTAACCATTTTAAGTACTTACGTACGCTCATTGACTGAAACTAATTTCAGCTCTCTTTTTCCTCACAAACTGCGAATTGATAAGTTCAATGACTGCAATAATATTTAATGTAAAAACAGACTCGAAACGTTTAATCACATTCACTCGTAAGTTACAAAAATAATACAATAATACTCGTATAATTTCTCGATCATCCAAGATAACTCCATCCCCGCGCGTCTTCACGACACTTTGTCACGAATTATAACGCCTCTAGATAAGAAACTTTTCATCTTTAAATATTCAAATAACAATTTCATTTCGTTTTCACATAATATATAATATTTCTTCATTTTTTAAATACGTTTAAAAAGTTTTCACTTATACGATTGATTTTATTAGTTTACTTTTTTTATTATTACACCTTGAATTTGATACACATTATTCTAACTTTTTTGTTTATTTTACATACAAATTTAGAGAATAAGTATGTCACTTTATAAATAATACATAAAAAAATAATTTAATTGATATCTTTTTATTAAAAAATGTTAGATAGGGATGAATTAATAAAATATTTAATATAATAATGACGTTCTGTAGTTTAATTGGATTTTCAAAAATAGCGCTGGTAAGTACTCGGCAACTCCGCTAGAGGTGACTTTTGTGATATTTGATTATCTTATAAATTGCATTAATCATAGTTTATTATGCTTTTAGGTATTCACAGACACAATAAAAAATATTTACAAAATTATTTAGAAATAATAATAAGATAGAATATTTCTTAAAGTCCTAATCTTATAAATTTGTAATTGTACGACATTTAGATTAATTGAAATCATAAAAAGCGAAATCAAACAAAAAATATTTGTATAAATAACAATATTCAAAGTTCATCAACGAAAATGATCTGAAAGACTTAATTATTAAATTTATTTTTGTTTTATTGAAGCTTTTGCTCTTTATAGTTATTATTTTTTTATAATATAAATTGATTTTTAACAAATATTATTTATTATTATTAAGTAATTGCAGTTATTATAGATTTTAGTAATCATGGACCCACGATCGTCATAAACTAAACAATAAATATATACATTGTAAAATAACTTTCAAACTTTAAGAAATTATTCTGTTATTTTTATAAAATTTGATATCAAAATATAAAAACTACAAATTTGAAGTTTTTGTCAAAAAATAAGGATCCTGGACTAGAACAGTCAAATTTTCTATAATTTCTTTCTATTTAATAGGTTTTGGCAATTGCAATATGTTTCCGTCAAAGAATATTTTAAATTCCAATTACATATCCTTTAACAATATTTTAATCTTCAATAAAATATTTCATATAGGATCTAATAAAGTGCGCTATTTTTTCAGAAGATATTTCCTAAAATCTGTAGTTATAGGGAGTGAAATATTTACATGATCGTATCATAATATTATATAAATGTATTACAAGATCAACATAATATATGATTTGTGTTATGTCCACGTACAACTTTTATCATTTTAGTATGATATAATACAAATACGTATCAGAAGAGTTATTTTAAAAACAAATAATATTCCATATAATTGTATGCATAAAATTTATATTCTATTAATAATGAAAGCAAACTTATCTATATATTAGAGAGGCAAAATATATTAGAATTATATTTATTTTAATTCGTTAATAACATAATGCAAATCTTATTTTGTTAACATGTTAAATGCCATACTAGTCCCTACTGACCAGCCTAAGACTTTCCATTCAAGCTGTGTCCATCACCAGTCGTTTACATTTTTGTATATTTCACTGGATTATTGTGGTCTGAACCAAAACCTAAACAAAACAGACTTGGCGTTTAACACATTAAATCATAAAATAAATTTTGAAGAAAACTAAGATTATATCACAAAAATTAATATAATTAATAATATCACGAGTGAAAGTCTTATATTATTAAAATATTTAAGACTTTTAGAGATTACTTAGTTTGAAAAAAAAAAGAAAAAAAATATTCAGGGTATCATATAAGGAAACAATTTTTTACCGAATATGATTTTGATTAAAAATGATCCCTATTATACTATGAACATGTGAAAGAGAAAATGAATTGTTTACATATACTTGGTAGCTGACTCAGAGTTGTGCAAATTTCTCCTATTAAATTTTCTTGGGATTTCGATCAATTGCAAAATATTTGCTTGGACATCTATGGATGGACATCCTGCATATTATAAAATAAAAAATAAATACACTTTTGAACTAATTCTTCTCATTTTGGATAATATAATTTTTAATTTTGTTAATTTTGTTTTTGTTTCTTTATATGATCTAAAGTAATAATTTTACTGCATTTTATATTAAAAAAGTTAATTTTTTGTGTGTAAAATTGCGAAGAATATTACCTAATCTATTTGAGAAATTTGATAGATTTTCTTTTATATTAAAACATATATGTTTACAGTGTAATCTTTACAAGAGAAAAAATAATATCACTTTGTACAAAGAATATGTAATTGGAAATAATGTCTCAATAATGTGTTTGAATTTTTCTTTAAATGCCAAGACGACTAAAAACATCTGGTTTTTTAACGTGCGTAACAGTTGCGACCCTATTGAAAGTAACTTGTTTCGCGCTACTTGATTTAAGCACACCTAATCGTGCTTTTGCTGGTATTATAGTAAGTCGTTCAGAAGCTGTAAATAAAGTACGCAAAATTAAAATGAAATGAATAATAAATTATATATGATTGATATAATTCTTTGAAGATAATAATTCATACCTAATTTGCCAGATGTAACTTCGAAATTTCTTGGTTTGTTTAAATTTGATCCATTTTCATTGAAAGTAATTTTTTTAGTTGTACGTACTAACCGCTTGACGCTATTCGAAGCAGTTTTATTATTAACCTCATGATCAGCATGCATCGTACCCGCAGCAAGAATCTTCTTCTTAGCTACACTAGATATTCTTACATTTGAACTACTATTTTTTAGAATACCCTGTGAAGTCGTCTTGGTAGTACCATTCTTTAATATTCCTAATTGCGGCGTGTCACTTTTCTTAGCATCTTTATCGCCAAGACGATTGAAAACGCTTATTGTTCTCTTATATGTATTTTTACCCAGTCCAGTAACATTAAACGTAGGAGAAGTCTCAGGTAAATTGGTTGTACTAGTTACTGAACTATCTCCTAATCTATCAAATACTGTCCGCTTTTGTTCAACTACTTTCTTAGCAGGTAGATTTCTCAAAGCTGCCATTTTTGGTATAATCACCGTATATCCTACTTTATCATTATCCTCGTCATTGTTAGTTTGAACCTTTGGTTGTTTCTTAGCAACTGACCAATCATTGCTATAACTTTCATTAAATCCTTCCTCAGGTTCCAACGTCCTTTTCAATGAATTTATAGTTTTTTTACTTTCTGGTAATACCACGCTTGATTTCTTAACAGTTGTTATCTTCGGAACCACAGTAGATGTGTTTTTAACTATTTTTGGAATAGTAACCGTAGAAGGTTTCGTTTTAGTTACTACAGGAGATTTAGCGGTTATTTTTGTCACTGCTTTTTTAATTATCGGTTTATTAACAAGTTTGGCTGGAGTATCTGGATTTTCTGTGTCGACAAGAAATTTTTCACACGTCGTTTCTTCCACTACTTTTTTTGCATATCTTAAAATAGCAATCATATCTCCCATTAAAGTAATGCCCATTTCTTTAAGACTAGGCTTGTCCAAGTCTGGCAACATATCTGGTTTAATACGATTGTTAGAAAATACAACTGCATGTTTGGTCGCAACATCTTGTGGAAAGCCAGCACCTTTGAAAAACTTTACCCAATATGCTAGAAAATATTAAAAATAATGAAATCATAAAAAATATATTTAAAAATATTTTGTGAATTATATGTGTTTACAATCATTAATAAGAATGAAAATATTATTTTACCTGACAAAGATGTTGCCATTATTTCAGTTAAATAAAATAATTATATTATCTTACTGAAAATGGTTGTTATGGGTACATAAACTTACAATAAAATTAATTTGAAAATATCCTTTTTCACACATTCAGTAAAATGTTTCTTTCACGAAATTTCAAGAATAAACAAAACTACTTAATCCTTTGGAACAATGAATTATATTTTATTACGAACACGAAATATCCTCTGTTCGAATTTTTATTATTCAATTCTGTGAAATATTAATAGAATATTTTTTTAACAATTAATCATACTTCAACCAGCTCTAAGCCGAATTTAGACATCTGCACAAATATACATCACACCATCTAGATGTACAACTACTTTTCCCATGTATACACAAAATGTAGTATTCGTCCGAGTTGGTTTTTTTAAGACTAGAGCCTAGCAGCGCCATATTTAAACTTTTACTGGATTATTATCAAACTAACTATAATATTATTGTTTATAGTTAAAAATTGTGTATAAATCTCTATTTGTTAAATAGTAAAATAATTATTTCTAATTCTAAAAGTTGAATTAAAAATTACATATTTATTTTTTATTTATTTTAATTTTGTATATTAATCTACTTATAAATTTGTCCAAAAATTGTCGTTTTTTATTATAATAATTAATTCTAAGGATATACGAAATAATATAAAATTTAGTAATGATATAATTGATATAAAAGTGATTTTGAAATAAAGTTAGAGTTTAAATCTGTAAAGTTGGTAGTTCAGTTTTTCATAGTTATATATACTATATCGTACAGTTCTTATCTATTATCTTACTTGAGATCTTTCTTGTACGTCGTTCTTATCTAATAACTTATTTAAAATTCAATAAGAAATCAAGATAAATAGTACCAGTTAGTGTGTTATCTCTCTATCAGTAAGTAATTATATATATCTATATATAATACACATATATATGTTAACAAAATGTTTAAATATTACTTTTTAAAAATCATTTTAATGTATATTTATCATACATATATATATTTACAGTGAATTAACTAAAGAAATTATTATTATTTCTTTTATATTATTGACAAATATAATTATTGTAAACAACAACAACAACAACAAAGTAAATATAAAAATAAAAAAGCCATGGAAAATTTTCCACCTCAAAAATATGTCAATAAAATAGAAACTTTTGATACGTGTATGATCGAAGCTACAAATCAGCAAGAAATAAATCAATCGGTTGCTGCACAAACTCCTATGCAAACAGTACAAGTAAAAAATCAAGATAATCATGAATCATCAACATTGCATCAACATCAACAACAACAACAACAGCAGCAGCAGCAACAACAACAGCAGCAACAACAGCAACAACAACAACAACAACAACAACTGCAACAGGATCAAACTCAAATCACGCAAATACAATCAAATATTCATCAAAACATGACACTTACTCCAGTACGCTTACCTGCAATTCTAGACGGTGAATTCTTTACAGTAATTAGAGTAGAAGACACTAATGTTACAGTTAGATGTTTACAATGTCACAAATTGCTTAATGGAAATTTAAAGTCTACGGGGAACTTTTTAAGTCATATAAAAGTAAGCCATAATGTGTTAATATACTATATATGTATTTATAATCGAATACAACTTTATAAATTATTTGTTTCTTTTTTTTTTTCTTTTTAGAGACTCCATCCACTCATGATAGAAAAAATCAAATGTAAATCTAACCAAAGGAAACCTGCAATGGTATATATTGATTTATCTTCTGATAAATATGCAGAAATCATAAAAACAAAAAGAAGATACAGAAAATACTATAAACCAGTAAATTCATTTTACTATGTTTAGCAATTTGTCATTAAAATTTGTAGCGTTAAGGAAAGTTAATACACGTTACTGACATTCCAAATATTTATTTACTTTTAGGAAGAGTGTCAACCCGGTAGCGAAGAATTGTATGAACAATCGGCAGAATGGACGGATCAAAATCCAGTTATTAGAAGAAGAAAATCGGAAGAACCTGAATCTAATGATTTCTTAAAAATACCACATAACAATTCTATCGTTATGGAAGATGAATTTGATGCAATTGGTCGGAATGTAGCGGCTAAACTTAGAAATATGCGTATAGACCAAAGAATAATAGCGGAAAAGTTATTAAGTGATATTTTGTTTGAAGCACAACTTGGTAATCTTCACAGAGATTCTAACATACATGTGTAAAAAAATTATTTTATAATATATATATATATATATATATTTTCTATAAATGAACTGAATTATAGATATGCTTTAATAAATATCAAAAGAATATATTTTTAATAAATTCGAACAATAGGAGCTTTAAAAGTTTTTATATCTAAATATCAATTAACTTTTAAAGCACCAAAATATACATTAAAAAATGTAGAATTTATAATAATTATACAAAAGAAGTATAAATATGTCCGTAGCTGTCAGTGTATATAATAGATTGTAAATATTATCATATATCGTACGCTTATTTTGAAAAAAGAAAAAAAATTTGCTGCCAGATATAATAACTATTTATAAGTCTTTTTCTAGAGAAATCATTTTTCTATAAATATTATATACTATATATCAAATGACTATAATTAATTGTAAATAATAATAATAATAATTAACAACAAATACATTAACAATATACTACACATAGACATAATTATTATATTCGTTTAAACTATTCTATTTTATGCCCCTAAAATACTTTTCTAACAATTATAATTATAGAACAGTCATTATTATCGATTATGACCTATCTCTTTATATTAGCTATGATTTAAGATTTAAAGAAATATTTTTTCATTCAGTCATACAGATTGTGAAATCTTTTCACAATGGCTCCGTTGCAATATTAATAAGCATAAGAACTTTAATGTTTATTTAGTATTTAGTTTTTCTTTACCAAAACTATTAGCTTGTATAATACTTTTTTTATTGATTGTCAACTACTGTATATTCTTCGTTTCTTTGGTTTAAATAGAACATGATAGACTATAGTTGACGAAATACAAAGTGCCATACTGATGAAAATTGTACATACTGCATAATTATACCAAAATCCGTTGAATTCAGCATACAAATACCATGTTAATGTAAATACAGTATTTTGAATAATAATGAAAATATAATACGGCAATAACCATTTGTCAGCATATTTAAATTTAATCTTGTATTCTATCATACTGATGATATAAACTAAACCGAGCCAAAGATTAATAAAAAATGTGATTACGTCGTAATACGATGCATAATAAAAAAGGTATACCAACATGATAATGTAATGGATACTAAGCGTACCTAATAAATAATATGGATAAAACTCATAAAATATGCTTATGGTAAGAATCCGTGCTAAGATAAAAAAGAACCACCAAAGAAATGAAAGGAATTTTCCAACTGGGTCGTCTTCGTCTAATCCTTTGGAAGAATGTTTCCTTTTAGGAACTTTTAAACTTTGATTACTATTTGTTAACTTCTGATTTGGTTCAATAATAGAAATTGACTTTGAATTTTCTACATCCTGATTCTCCGAAGTTTTTACAATTGAATCTGGGCGAGGAGGTGCTGGTACATCCGGTACAGGTAATGGTACAACTGTAGTAATTCCTCTCAAAGGTGTAGGAGGTGGTATCACATGAGCATTTTTCGGTGGTAGTGGTGGAGTTACAGATATCTGTCGATCTAAAGTAACTGCTGCTTCTTCTTTTGCTTCCGTTTCTGCTTTTTGTTCTGTAGATTTGTTTACATTTTCATCTGGTTGATTTGATTCTTCCTTAAGATTAATAGCAGCCGTGTTATTATCCTCTGTTACGTTAGATAATTGTAATGGTGTTTTTTCTTCAAGATATTGAAGTTCCTGTATATAATAAAATTTTAAGATAAATAATTAATCACAAAAATACGTTTATTTATAATAATTAATTAAAAGTTACCTTGATACAATATTTTTTTAACCACATTGCCCATGGAAGTTTTCTGCCATTGACCCGTTGACTTTCAAATCTTTGAAAAGAAGTTGTCTCAATTGCGAGTATCACGACAGACATAAGAATACACAATACATGTATGGAAACTGTAAAAAGAAATAAAATGTACAATATTGTTTGTTATTTAAGTATAAACTATTAAAAAATAAGATAATTGTGTGTGTGTCATACTCGATTGAAAACTACGCTGAACTGTATATTCTCGGAAAAGTAAATGAGTCTGAAATATAGCTTGTGGTGCAGCTTGAAACCAGGCTTGTAAAAAGAAATATAACTCGATGGCTGCAGGTGCAGTGGAAATGTTTAACGTTTTAGATCTTTTTTCTCCTGTCAAGATGATAGCGTCCACAGCCATGACAATAAGTCCAGCATATCTATGTAAAACAAATTATTAATAATTAAATAATTGTTAACGTTTCTAATAATTTATAAAAAATTGAATTTTAACAGTACCTGTAAAGCGCAAAGAATGGAAATCCAATGAGCTGACATATTTGAACAAATAACCAAATTAAAATTCCTTTTGTTAATTTATCATTGTCAGTCATCCACCAATCTGGTCTCGAAATAGTTAGTATAAAATATACTATAGCAGGAGCATACATGAGAGAAAGCGTACAAGATCCCCATACTGGATTGTGCTCTCTAAAATGTTGGGTAGCGACGACTAGATCAGCAGAGAAGTGAATGATATAAACTATACAATTCACCAACGTCGGTATCAAGAAAACCAAATAAATTTGTTCAGTTGATTTTAATGGTATTTTTAAACATCTAGATGACTTTCTTTGACAAACTGATGATACTGACTTTGACATTTTTATTATTTTTATTATTATTACTCTCACTCATTCCCATATGTTTTAATTTATTCTTTCATTCGCACACCAAATTTTTGTATGACATAAAATATCTGGAAAAAAGAAAATTCATGTTGGTGAAAAGTAATTTAATACAAAACAAAACAAAAATAATACATTAATTGCAAGTATGGATATTTAATTATTATCTGGAAATCCTAACCCTAAGAATTAAAAATCTAAGATTCATGTATGTATACATTTTTTAAATATCAAAAATAAACTGTTAAGATTATCTCAAATTTCAAAAAAAGAACAATTAGAAACAATAATTACAAATACTTTAAATCTAATCGTACAATAATAAATATTAAATATAGAGATAATAAAGTTTGACAAAATTCAAATATTTTTCCCGCGATAATCATATCGCATGCAACGTATCCTATGCGTGCATAAATACAAAAATAAAAGAAAATTTTTCCTCAAACAATGTATTAAATATTTAAAAAACAAAATCTTATAATTGTTTAAATTAAATTTGTAAGAAAAAGAGAAGTGATTCATAGTAACAAAGAACAGAAATATACATATAAAAGAACGAAAAAGTAATACGAATTGTTCGTGCAATTAATAAAAGAAAAAGAAAAAGAAAAAATCGTTGAATAAAATTAAAAGAAGTGATCTATGAATGATTTACCTAGTAAATCTTAGAAATGTTAGCTTTCCTTGGTTACAAGACAACAAATAAAACGGTCTCTCGTTATCGATGAATTATCTCACTTATTGATACAATCATTTAAACAAAAAATGAAGTTAAGGTGAAATTGTGTATATAAGTTGACTTTGGTTAAACAGGAATTATTGTTGGCTCAGCTGTTTTCACAAAGGTGTACAAAACTTAACGAATATTAAACCGTACGGTAGAAATATAGTTTTTTGTAAATCTCAAAATAGTCTGATTTTTTTTTAATGTAAGTCTCATTAATATATACACATATAAGAGTGAAATAAAAAATGATGCCGATCGTAATGCAGAATGTAAAAAGCTTTGACACACACGCGACCTATATATATATATATGCATATATATGTATATATGTATTTAATTGGTAAAGAAGTGCTCAAAAATACATGGATTTCGATATGTAATGTGTTTGATTAGTCATCACACATCAAACTGAACAGATAGCTCAATAAAGGTCGATTCCATCGACTAATGATAAAGGATTCTTAGATATCGGCGTTGCTAAGACAACGAATTGCTTTTAATAGTTTCATTGTAAGAGGGAGAAAGAGAGAGTATGTATGTTGATAGACCAAAAACTAGAGGGGTGATAAGAGAGAAATAAAAATGGAAGGATAAGTAAAGAACAAATATGCTATATATATATATATATATATGTATTGATATGCGCACGCGCAGAGATTTAATTGGTAAAAATAAATTTAAAAGAAATGAGAAATTATAATAGCTGAAGGAAAAAGAGAGATGCAAAGGCAATAGGGTCATATATATAGTAAAATGTACAAAATAATTTTTTTTTATTTTATTTGTTAGGAGTATACTTAACTATTCGTAAAGAAAATCTCATATTCTTCCCAAATCTTAGCTATTAATAATCTTAAATTGATGATGTTGATATATCTTACTTACAATAATATTATGTGATAATATAAATAATAATACTAATTTGTTGTAATTCATAGAATTTATTTCAGTGTTAATGTAAATTATGCATACAGTTTAGACTTTCTAACTTTCCAATAAATTCTATATGAAGATGTATATATATTTATGGATTGTTGGGAATTTCTGAGTTTTCTGGATTTTCTGGTTGAAATAGATTTACGAAGGAGTTATATTGATCCATAATGTTCACTTGTTCAGGTCTATTTGTTAGTTCATCATACTGCGAACCAACAGACCATAATAGTTCTAAATCGAATCGTTCTCTAGCCTTAGATGAGAATATGTGTAAGGCAATGTTTCCTAGAAATAAACATCCTTTGTGTTTACAGTACAAATAGAGAAAGTTAATTAATTATTTAGATTATTTTAATTAATATCTACCTAAATCCAAAGCTATCCAATCTGCTGAATTTGCTCCTTCAATTTTTGGGATGATATCGGTTTTATGCATTTTTAGTTTAAATATTTTACGTACATATTCGGCTAAAGCAGTCATATGCTTTTGGGATTTACCTGTTACTACTACGAAATAATCTACGTAGTTATAGTCTTTTGGTACAGATGCAACAAAGATATTTCTTGCATTATCCTTTTGAAGAACAGCCATAAGGTCTTCTATTTCATACACTCCGCTTATACCACCTAATATGTTTTATAATATTAATTAAATTTTAACAAATATTTTACTTTTATCAGGCTACATAGACCAATGTTTTTATTTACATACACTATTTCTATATAAAAATATTGACTTACGTGTTAAATTCAATCCTTTGTAAGGATCATGATATTCCTCCTCTACACGCAATTCATCTAAAAGTATTTTTTCTTGTTCTTCATCTACATCCAAAATAACTTTAGAATCTTTGTCCTGAAATAATTTATATTTCGAGTCAATATTTTCTACAAGATTACTTTCATTCTCATTCACAGGTTCTTCCTTAGACAATGTATTTGGACTAATATCTGAGTAACATCTTGTTTGTTTTAATAAAGAATAAGTAATAGATCTATTGTTGTGAGAAATAAATGTTTTGTATATTTTTCTTACACGTAACAAATTGGATAATATATTGTTGCTCATGATTTCTTCATTTAATTTCCTAACCTCAAAACATTGTTCCAAGCAGATCAAGATGTTTCTGACGAATATCTACGAAATATCTCAGATGGCGGTAATGAGTATTACGAAAAATTTATTTTGTTAACTCAATTTTAATAACAAAATTTATTTAATTTCAATTACATTCAAATTATAATAAAATAGAGATCATATTATCTGTATTTAAATCTGTGCTACTCGAAATCAATATAAATTAATAATTTTACATAAAATAGGATTGGGAAATAATGGCAGAAAATATAAATTTGTATATATCGAGGTTCCATTTTATTTAAGATAAATAAAATAAAGAATTATAAAATTATCTCTCTATATGAACGGTACATTGATGGAATGGTTAAGTTACACGACAGTAGAGCATGTAAGACTTCTGATAAATTTAACTAGAAACCATGACTTCTCAGTGTGATGCTGTCATTCCTACAGCTGTAACAAAAGAAACAAGTTTTGTTATACACATTGCAAGAAATTTTTTTTAATTTGCATTTAACTCTTTTTATAGATTATGAATTAACAAGTTTTAAATTTAGATTATTATCAATTGCTATACATTGATGTACATAGACGTTAAAAATTAAATATATATAAAACTATCATATCAAAGAAAATATTAATTAGACATAAAAATACTTACAGAGATTAAAAAGAACAGTTTACTTGGACCTCGCACGCATCTTCCTCCTTTTGCGCTTTAGCCTACGCATACGCTTCTTACGCCACTAAAAACAAAATATACATTACTCACATAACCTATTCTCCATTAACATTTTTTTATCATTACACCTTCATGTATAATATATAAAAATAAAAAAAATTTTTAATGTGCCAAAAATTGTAAATTAAGTTACAATAGAATCCACTCATTTAATAAAACGAGCAAATAACTTCATAAATTAAACTTCACACATGGCTGAAGGTAACACTACCGAATCGCTGATTACGCTGATTTTGTAATATATTTTTAATAACTTATTTCTTATTTTTATACATTAAATAATAATATTAAAAATTAAATGCTTACCTTTGCTCTCATGCTCTCAAATTAAAAAAATTAACGAAATTCTCTAATTCTCGATTGTCGTGGATTTTTATTCAACCTTCCTTGTCAAGTTTCGAAATCAATATGGACAAGAAATGCTTAGCTTATATATTACCGGAAGTCTTCCATTGTAGTTTGATTATTATTCCTATAGAGGGCTTGGTTAAGGATTTTGTTATTGATATTGATTAACAATTAAAAATGTTAATAAATATTACTTTATAATCTGAAATAAAAAAAATGATAAACATTTTTATATAAATATGCATAGAGATGTTTGTTAATATTTGTTTTGAATCAGTTTCGTTGTTCCATGTTCCGGTTCGTTCCTATTTCACTTGTGCACGTTTTCCCGCGTTTAAAAGACTTTCCCGCGAAAACTAATAGCAAGATTACTTGTTGCTCTTAACGTTAGTGTATTTAGTCGATTAGTATTCAGTTTATTCTGAGTCATAGAGCGAGGGTCACAAATATTGTTATTTACTTTGGATACGTGCATTATATATACTATCTATTGCTTCTAAAATTCCATTTCAATAAAAACTTCAAGTATTTGAAGGTAGTCGTTTGTTTCGTTTGAGGTTGAACTGATGAAAGTTTTATAGACGACCATCCTTTAAATGTAGATGTGAAAATATTATATTAGTTGATTATTTAAATATTTTATTATAATTACTATATACTTTTACATTATTCTTTTTGTCATTATTTTATTTTTTACGTGATTTTAAGAAATTAAAGGAAAATTGTTGACTTATTGAAAATGAGTAAACAGACGAACATACTTTTTCCAATAAGGAAGAAAAGTACTTTTTACGGTAGCAAAGAAAGCCAAATTAAAGAAGATTTCACTAATGCGACTTTGAGAAGTATTCCTACACAATATACACCAAAGGTTAAAAAGATTGTAACTTTAAGTAGCAGTGAATCTGAATCCGATTCTGATTCAGAAAATGTTAAAATAAATAAAGTAAATTCCAAAGAGAATATAAGTAACGACGTTGTTACAACTCCAAGACGTGTAAGGAAATCTGATGATTCTGAAGGTATGAACATCTATTGATATGTTTAATATTTAAGAATTATTTTATTATTCAGAGTTTTATATATGTGTTCGTTATCTTTATAGATGACAATAGTGCTTCACCACCGAAGCAAAGAAAATGCGAAAAATCTGTGGAAGTTCCTTTGACTCCATCAACTCTCTTAGATAGACTTGATTTGTCGTTGGATGAAAAGAAGGAGAAATTAAGTCCGAAGAAATTACTTGGCTTAGATAAATATCGTAATGCACGTAAAGCCTTGCACAGTTCTGTTTCGGATAATTTGCCTGGAAGAGAGAGAGAATTAGCAAAATTACAAGAATTCATTAGTGAACATTTGAAGAATAAATCTTCTGCATCGCTTTATGTTTCTGGACCTCCAGGTACTGGGAAAACAGCATGTCTTTCTAAAATAATACAACAATCAGAATTTAAATCAAAATTCAAAGTTGTTTATGTTAATTGCACTACAATGAAATCAGCTGCAACTATTTATTCAAAGATTATACAAGAGTTAGGTTTAACTGTACCAAAATCTAGTAAAATCAGTAAAGCAATAATAGAGAAATATTTGATATCTAATCACAAGATGTTACTATTAATTCTTGATGAAATAGATCAATTAGAAAGCAGAAATCAATCTGTTTTGTATTCCATATTTGAATGGCCATCAAAACGTAATACAAAACTTCTATTAATCGGTATTGCTAATGCTTTGGATTTAACCGATAGAATTTTACCACGTTTACAAACGAAATGCGAGTTAAAGCCACAGCTGCTAAATTTTCCTCCTTATACGAAGCAACAAATATCTAATATTTTATCTACTAGACTTCAAGAAGCAAATGTTCCTGATATATTAATTGGACCAGCATTACAATTGTTAGCTGGAAAAGTTGCTGCCATTTCAGGTGATATTAGAAGAGCATTGGATATTAGTAGAAGAGTTATTGAGCTTGCTGAATCGCATCAGACAGCACAAATTTTACAACCTGTGAATAATACGACTAGTCCAAGAAAAGATCAACCTTTGAGCGAAAAGTCTGTTGATCTAAAAGATGTAATGACAGTACTAAATGGTGTTTACGGTGGTACACAAAACATTGATAAAGAAGAAAGTACGCTTCCCTTACAACAAAAATTATTATTATGTTCTTTCATACTTATTTTAAATAAGGGAAAAAATAAAGATGTTACCATTAAAAAGGTTAGTATTTTGCAATATTATTATATTTAGAAAATATATATTAGATTAATAATTTATATATATATATATATATTGATTGTTTACATATGTTTTAGTTGCACGAGGTTTATAAAAAAGTTTGCAAGAAAAGAAATATTCATGCTATAGATATTTCGGAATTTGTATGCTTATGTACGTTGATAGAAACCAGAGGAATTTTAAGAATAATCAAGAAAAAGGAGGCTCGTTTATCTAAATTAAGTTTACAATGGGATCAAGAAGAAATCGGTGCAGCGTTACAAGATAGAAATATGATGGCTGAAATAATCAACGACGTGTCTTGCCTATAACAATTTTTCTTTTTTTGTTGTAAAAATTGTTTGAATTAGTAAAGTCATTGAATTTTGATAGAGTTGCTATATATATAAGCGCAAAATTTTAATCATTAGAGTGTTAAACAATTTTACAATTTACAAATTTTAATATAATGCAAAGTCAACGAATGATCTTAACACCAAATTTTAACGGGTAAAATATGATAATATCATGTATTTTATAATTGACCATTTAAATCTCGTTATTTATATCATATTACATGAATCTTCATATTAAATATAAATTATATTTCCATTAAAATATTTTTCTAATTGTAGTGAGGAACAACATATGTTACCTGTTAATTTTAGACGTAGTTTATATATAATTAAATGATGTTAAATCATGTGACTACCGAAGCAAGTGAATTTCAGTTTCTTTTTCATATTTTGCGCCATTATTAACCTATCGATGCTAGAGAATTTTAAATTGCTTCACATCAGATAAATTTTTGAGGCAATAGAAAAAAAAGAAAAGTAAAAAATATTAAGAACAATTAAAATTCGCTTAGTTAATAAAAAAAAAAAAATATGTCAGTAATATCAATTAATTTCGCAATATACAATTATATTTCGAGAAATATCGAAAATATATTGACCAATCCAGAAGATGTCGCTTTAAACATAAAGTTATATCATACGATTTCATTGGTCAGTTGGTAGCTATATTCAATGATTCGTTCGTAATTGGAACCTATTATCGTGAATATTTTGATCTTTCTATGGATCTTAGAAAGTTGTGTTATGGGCCTAAAGCAGTGAATACCATTGTGCCAATCTGTTCGCGTTGGCTGTTTGACCAGCTGTTTCATGTGACCATGAAATCATTTTGATTTTCGTGAAAGTCATTGTCAATTGAGGTTAAAAATAGTTATAAGTACATTTAAGTAAAGATATATAAAGAAAGAGAAAGTTACAAGTGCAATTTGTCAGTGCGCCTAATTAATAACAATGGGTACGGGACAAATAAAACGTGATATAGAACGTAGCTTGACTTTAATAGTAACAGGAAAACAATCGGAGATTGCTGAGGGATGGGCCAAATTAAAGAAGTTCGAAGGTAATCAGGTATACGATCAAGCTAATAATTATATTGATATTTTGAGGCCTATATTAAGGGATTTATTTATCACAAATGTTAACCAAATACCTGGTATTATTTCTTGGTATTGTAAAAACGTAATAACGACTAATTCGGATGTTAGCACGTTTGTTAGTGATTTAACGATGTTCTTAACAACTACACACATCAACGACATGAACGATTTGAAGAAGATTCTTGAGCAATTGAAAGATTACAATATTTTATTTTGTAAGTCCAATAATTACGTAGAACTTGGAAAAGCAATAGTGGAGAGTTTGGCCAATCTCTCTCCGCCTTATCAACCATTAAAAAATGATGAGTTTAATGAAAATGCTATCAAGATTCAAACATTGTTGTGTGAGATATGTTCTAATAAACAAGTACTTGCATCTGTATGTTTGAAAACATTATACAAAATTATATCAGATAAAAATAGAATGCAGGAACCAGCTCTTGCGTTAGCATCCGTACTAAAATTGATGGAACCTTCTGAAGAAGCAGTTGATTGGATACTTTTGGAATCCCAATGTGAAGATGAATTAATTCAGGCTTTAAGGGTCTTATGTACTTGGCTTCCAAATTGGAAAGGAAATAGTCTTGGTCGTTGGATAATGGAATTTATATTTGGTTTAGAAAGAAAGAAAAAGGATGCGATACTTATAGAGGTTACAGAAACAATGTTGAATATAATATTTTCAGCCTTGTTAGAACCAGGACTTCGTCGCAATGCTTCGGATATTATATTTCCTATTTTAAAAAGACAAGGCTCTCTACATTTATTAAATATTATTATTAATATCATGGATAAGATATCATCTCAATTAGATAAGGAGAATTCTAAATCTAGTAGAGAATGTATACATGATATGACCGATATTAAGACGGCACTTATGACAAGATTTACTCATTCTAAAGATTATATATCTTCGCAAATTAATTTACCAGTAAGGCCTCAAACCAATGTTGGCAAGGAAATAATTATTGGACCCACTTGGACTAATGAAAAAGAGTTAAATTCCTTTGTAGAATCACCCAAATCTATTAACGGGAAAGTGGGTCTTTCTAATCTTGGAAATACATGCTATATGAACAGTGTATTACAAGCCTTATTTATGACAAGAGAATTTTGTTACGAAGTATTAAACTATAAACCATTTAATGATAATGGTGAACAAGTTATATTGAAGAAACTGCAAGATTTATTTGCTCTTTTATTGTACTCCAATAGAATTTCTTTATCACCAAACGAAATTTTAAATGTTTGTCGACCTGCTTCTTTTTTACCTGGTCAACAACAGGATAGCTCAGAATTTCTCTGGTTCGTATGTACTTATGATATTCTTCCGACTACGTTATGCATGTAATACTAGAAACAATGTTTACAAAAAATAATAATTGTTTTTGATGTTTACTAATAGATTCTTTTTCTCTCTCCAAACAGTCATTTGTTAGATATGTTGCACGAACAAGAGCGATGTGCTACAAATGATTTAATTAGCTATCAATGTAAAGTCGATATACAAGACAGTGATAATTTGCCAATAGAAGAAGCAGGAGTTATTAAGCGTTGGACTACAGAAGAAAATTTAACAGGGAATACAATTTTACAAAGAAAAACTCAATCGTTAGCTGATTTTACGCAAGGTAATTTTTTTCCCTTACATTGTTAAAACAATTTGTAAAGATTATTTTGTTTTTATTTGAAAGTTTGTTATCTTGTAGTATTTCGTCTTTCTAATAAACAAACGTTATTTTCATTGACCAGGTGATGAGCTATCACAGACACAAAATCTCTCTGATTATCATTCTGATTCAACAGACAGTGGAATACAATCTGTTGGTGGAGAGGAAATAAGTATCCCAGCATCTCTTGTACATAGAGTGTTGGGTGGAGAATCAAAAATTACCTATAAGTGCGCGCGATGCAATACTGGTTCACACAACATAGATAAATTTCGTGATCTTCAATTGTGCTTCCCAGAAGAATTAAATGAAAATCAAGAAGCCGTATCTGTTCAATATCTCATAGATTATTATCTTGCACCAGAGAAATTAACTGGTGATAATAAATATAGATGCGACAAGTGTATGATATTATGCGATGCAGAAAGAATAATTAAGATTTTACAAGCACCAGCACATTTAATTTTAACGTTGAAACATTTTCATTACGATTTTGAAAGTAGATTAAAAACTAAATTACGACATAAAGTTTTATACAATGACATTATACAATTGCCGGTATCAACTCAACCAAATTCGATAACTGAAACTTATCAACTTTATGCCGTTGTTGTACACTCCGGATACAATATGGATTATGGACATTACTTCACGTATGCTTGTGATTCTAAACAGAATTGGTACAAATTCAACGACAGTTATGTTTCTCGCACCTCTCTAGAAGATTTAAAGAATTTGAAAGCACCAGATACGCCTTACATACTCTTCTATGAGAAGTTAGGATCATCCGATGGAATTTATGATGATAAAATCGAATTATCTACATTAAGTAAACATATACAAGAACTAGTTGCTAAGGATAGAGTTGCATACATAGAAGAATTAAGACATCAACCTGAACAATCGCAACACAGTCGATATCCAGTTACGTTATTTCGCCGAAGTGATAATTCTGATGACGAAAATCCTCCATTTAGTAATTGTCGTGGTCCAGTTAATATACAAACGAATTCACGTCTTTGTTAAATAATTTCTGTTTTAGTTGTGAGATATAGATTAAAATTTCATTTTAGCATTAACGAATTAATAATAAATTAATATTCATTATTCGGATTCATTCATATATCATATTTATGATTATATCGAAAGTTGTAACGTATTCAGTACTACCATTTGCATAAACAAACCATAAGTATTTAAATATATTTATTGAATTATAATTACGGAGAAATTATAACCACAGAACAAATTTTCAATTTCTATCTATTTATTAAGAAAACTTTAATCGTCGACTATATTCCTTTGACTTTTCTTTTTTCCTCTTAACGCAAGATATACTAAATAATACATTATGTACATAAACTTTTAAGTGTAATCATAAATCCGGTGTAAGGCATGTGTAATAATGTTCCACGAGCTGTTCCTTCTGCTCTTGTTCATTAAACATCGATCAATTTAACATTGTTATTGTTGAAAAATAAGATACTTTTCGAATAGTTGAAAGATAAAATGATATGAATTCATTTGAACTAATGAAAATTAATTGTTATCGAAAGCACCTTTTGTGTGTCTTTTAAATAAAATATGTCAGACTTTGAAACAAAACGAAACAAAATAAAAAGAAATAAATTAAATACAAATAATTCTTATAGAATAATCGTAAGAAAAATTTATATGTGAAATAGCATTAATATTATTAATAACATTACTCGCGCGCGCATATATAAGTGGTTAACAAACAAAGTAATTCATAATTTAATAACAAAATACGCTTTATTCACATGTAAACAATTAAAAACTATTATGTATGATATTTATAAATGATACGTTTTCATCGGCTGTGTTTATATGTATGTATGCCAAAATCAGTATTTCAGTTAGTATAAAAAACAAACAGTATCCGAACGAATATCATACATCTACCATTGTCATATACATATATATATATATATATATATATATATTTATTTATATGTATATATATATATTAATGAAAAATAAATCCTATTTAACATCTTGTAAAAATAAAATCTCTTCATCTGTTAAGGAAATTATTTACTTTATAACCATATTAAATTACGTTCATATGTAGGG